GCAAGGGACGCTACTAGGGGCTCCTGGCCTTACTACTAGGAGCAAGGACGGTACTAGGAACAAAAGGTTCACTTTGTTTCCTCTAGTGGCGATGGCCTCCAACCTAACAGCGATAGTCATATGAGAATCAACAAAAGGTTCACTTTGTTTCCTGAAGAGGCTTCCCTCCAAACCACTCAATTACTGAAAGAGCTTGCCTTGACTAGGCTTGGTGTATGCTGTGTGGGGCCGGCGATTTGAAGTGCTCGGTTTCTCGTTGAAACATGTCTTGGGAAATAGCGGGACATAGTGCAACAATGGCAACACCATCCTATGGCGTGCTCAATACGTGCAAAACATGGGAAGAACACATTGGAACCTCTGCTTCTGGAATGCGGCCCAGCGGTCCTGTAGGAATAGCAGGGGCAAATGCTCAACCAGTTGGGAACCTATCTGGGATGGCCATCGCTATTAGGCTGGTGGAGGCCATCGCTATTGGGTTGGAGGCCATCGCTGGTAGGCTGGAGGCCTAGTGACCCTGTGAACACTGGGATAATATTTTGACCTCCCAAATGCAAGAACGCCTGCAGCAACAGTGACACCCGACTTGTCAGGTTACCATGGCCAGATCTTCAAAAAGGACACTACCATTTGTCCACTGAATATCGTGGTTCTTTACACGCATACCAAACGTCTGCCCCTTCCGGCCGACGCACCCGGCCGATGCCCGGTAGAACCAACAGCTCGAGAACGACGAAGAGAACGCTTCGCCGGGTCGCTGCTACTCCCTCCTTCTTGCTCTGTCTCTGGCTTCTCCTCTGGTGGATCCCGGTGGGGCCGCTTCCTGATTGTTAATTGGTGGGGCAGCATGTTGTTGGAAGGTTTCCCCCAAATTGTTCTCTGGTGATTGAAGTGTCCTTCTATCCATCCTCAATTCCAGAGCATAGTGAAGGTGACATGTAGAGACCATGTAGGATAAGACATTCCCTTTGTGGAACTGTCAGACTCAGAGCTGCTGGGGCCCTGCTCAGCAAACTCCCAGGCCATCGCTAGTAGTAACAAGGGCATCGCTACTAGTAGCAAAAACGCTACTAGTAGCTAGGGCATTACTACTAGTAGCAAGGACGCTACTAGGTTGGAGGCCGTCGCTAGCAGGTTGTGGATTCATCACCCTTCACCAAGATGAACATGAGATTCCTCGCTTTGAGCAATTCACTCAAACACAGCTATCAAAAACACATGATCTGATCTTCTCGCCTTTTTTAGAGTTCCATACTTTGCGTCCCAACACGGGGAAAGTGATGTTACCTTCCCCATCTCCCCAAACTTTTCAAGGACAAAACTGGAGGAACTATCCCCCTTCCGCGATGAAAAGACGCCACCACTACCACCTCAAGGACTATGACGGTAAACCAAGCTGAATCTTGTTGATTCATTGAGTGTTCTCAACCACCCACAAATCAAGTAGAACGACTTCGGTCTAGTGGTCTCCCGTCCTCGGAGCTGGGCCTCATGAGCGCCTCAAGCAGCGGGGCCCCACCCGATGGGCGGCTTCCCTTGGGGAACACCTGGGGTGTGACAGGAAGAAACCTTGTTACTAGTAGCTTCTTGTTACTACTAGTAAGGCACCTGTTACTAGAAGCGATGCACTTGTTACTACTAGCTTCTTGTTACTACAGGTGAAACGATTCCCAAGGAAGCTTCTAGTTACTAGAAAGCTTCGAAGATATACTAAAAAGCTTCTTGTTATTAGTAGTAAGGCCAGGAGCTGCTAGTAGCGTCTTTGCTACTAGTAGCGATGCCCTTTGCTCCTAGTAGCTTCTTGTTTAAAGAATCCTCGGCAACACCTCATTGACTTTACGAACAGGTATGCATTCCACAAAACAAAGATGCCTAAGAACTCTGGTGCCTTAAGGACACTTTTCTTTGGCCGGCAAGCACTCTTCGGCGCGTTGACCCGGTGAGTCGGAGGGAGTACAAGGAACAGAATAGCAGAAGGAACATACAAGCGATGGCCTCCAACCTAGAAGCACCCTTGCTACCAGTAGCAAGGCCAGGAGCTACTAGTAGCATTCTTGCTACTAGAAGCGATGCCCTTGTTACTAATAGCGATGGCCTCCAACCTAGTCTAGTAGAATAGCTATCAATGGTAACTGTGAAACATCAGGTTTCTGGGAATCTCCACAGAGTCCAGCTAGATATTCTGAAAAATCCGCAACAAGTTCCAGCACATATCATTGGCTCCTTCTCTCTTTCTGCTTGGACTGAAGCAGATCTTGCACTCTCCGTATCGAGGACCGAAGTCTTGCCCCTGAGGACATTGTACATCATGAGAACACCTATATGGTTGGTCTACTAGGAGCAAGGACGCTACGAACGGGGCTCCTGCCATCGCTACTAGGAACAAAAGGCTATTAGAATTCAATTAGAAGCTACCGATGTACATCACTATGTGGCCCCTGGGACCGAAGAGATCCGTCAGACGAAGGATCTTCGGTTGTTTCAGGTGGTTTCATTCCTACGTTGGAGGCCGCTTGTAGGTTGGAGGCCATCGCTATTCGGTTCCTTTGCTATTAGGCAAAATTCATTCCTTCACACCGCAGTGCTCCTAGACCTGCCACTTTTGGGGATTGCCTGCATATGACCTTGCCTTGCCTTTGCCCTCAACAAACATAAACGCATTTCAGGCTAGTACCTTGTACATCCTCATACACAGGCTGTTGGCATTAGACGAAGCAAGTAGAGGATTCGCAACCTGGACCACAGCTGGACTCCCGCGCCTCAATCTCTTCCAGTGTAATGGACTTCACCCTGGAGGAATCCATCACCTTTCCGAATCCGAAGAAAGAACAGTTTCAGAATGCCACGAACCGTGATGAAGCTCCCACGATACTTCCAAACACAGGGACCGCAGAGCAGAATCAATCGAAACACAGGATGGACAGCGTAAGAACACATATAATTACAAGTTTCCTTTAACAAACCACAGGATGGACTTTTCAATTTGAACACTGAGACACATTTTTGTTGGTGTGGTCTCTCAGTACAAAACCCGGTGCGGATGTCCGAACTGGAGCTATTCACAGAAGTACCGCATGGACTTTATCGTTCCCATGCATCCTTCAGCCACAGCGTGCAGGCTCGGGGGGGAGGCGAACGTCGAGAACAATCCCGAGGGGCTGGGACTATTGGATCAACACACTTGTCAAAACTTGTAAGTTGTTTGCTTGGTGAATACTACTGATTCAAACCGATGCAGTTTTTTCCAGGTCTGACATGTTTGGTTGCATGCGGCCACCGCCCAGTGTTACACGTGCCCATGCCATATTCTGCGCACCCCCATACCAGCATCTTCTGACTCCTGCACGAGATAGATGGGAGTTGATCAAAACGCCCCGCAAAGAGGCCCTCACATGGATGAAGGGAATCATACAAAACACCTGGGCAGGTGAACTTCTAGTGCCTCGTCCTTGCGTTTTGGGAGTGTGCTGTAAGCTTTTCCAACGACAGAGCATGTGCATTGAACATGTCCACAACATAGCGGGTCGGTCTTTCCAAAGGTTTTCCCAGGGGGTTTTCCCCGCCTACGTCACCAGTCCCCGACAATAAACCAATTGATGGAAGGGCACCAGAAAAAGACTCACGCAGGACACAGGTGCACAACCAGCACTTGTCCAGTTCCCAACCAATCTAGTTAGCGTCCTTGCTCCGATCGTAGCGATGCCAATTGAGTAGCGTCCTCTTGTTCCTAGGAGTAAGGCCAGTAGTGCCCCTAGTAGCGTCCTTGCTAAGGTGAAGTCCTGCAATGAAAAAACACCCAGAGATTGATGGGAATTCTTCCCCTCGTCCACACGTCATTCCCCTGGCGACCGGTTTTTTCATGCCATGAGCAGCCCATCTCCTTCTCCCCCGGGGCTTTCTTCGTCAAATCGGACATGTACCTCAGGAGCGGAGCTCTGCCGATGCGGAGGGGTTTGAGGCAGAGGTTGGATGTGGATAGTTCCTGGAACACTTCGCGGGACCACGGGAGACTCCTTGAGCCATATCAAAAGAGAGGCCTAAAGTAGAAAGAAAGAAACGAAACGAAAAGAAGCGCTTTGTTCCTAGTAGCGTCCCAGGCCCTTTGTTGCATTTTGTTACTAGTAGCGTCCTTTGCTCCTAGTAGCGATGCCAGAAGCTACTAGTAGCTTCTTGTTCCTAGTAGTAGGGCCAGGAGCCCCTAGTAGCGTCCTTGCTACTAGTAAGGCACTTGTTTCTAATAGCTTCTTGTTACTACTAGCGAGGCACTTAGCCGCATGTCCCGGTGGACGGCTCCACGTGGGCGCACTTGTCGAGACTGTCGGCCTCGGCTGGAGCCTCCTCGAGGAAGCCCTGGCACCCGAAACAGGCACGTTCCAAGAGTTCGACTGTCAAAGTAGATTCCTTTTCTAATTACTAATCGTTACTACTAATAAGGCACTTGTTACTAGAAGCGATGCACTTGTTCCTAGTAGCTTCTGGTTTCAGAGCTCAAAACCTTTCTTTTCGCTACTAGGAACAAGTGCATCGCTTCTAGTAACAAGTGCCTTACTAATATATATATATATTAAGAAACATTGCCTTTTCTTTTCTCTTCTAGCGTCCTTGCTCCTAGTAGTAAGGCCAGGAGGCTCTAGTAGCTTCTTGTTACTAGTAGTATGGCCAGGAGCCCTAGTAGCGTCCTTGCTCCTAATAGCGATGCCAGGAGCTATTAGTAGCTCCATTTCCGGCTGTGAACCTCGGTCAAACTCCCTCGGCCAGGTGCCGCGCCGTGCCGCGCCTGATTTCGCGCATGCTTGGTGAGGATCTTTACCGTCGAGGTTTGAGCCTGGAATGAGAGGTCGAAGTGAATGGCCTATTTGTGAAGGTCGGTAGTAGAGATACGGCAAGAATGCTGGCACATGGTCAGTTTCTGGCCATTTCTTAACAGATGAGGCTCTAAGCCCTTCTTCACCAACAAACAGATCTAAACAGTGTCAACGTGAACACAAGTGATCTATCAGAGGGCCAGGGGAAAAAACTGATTACACAAGTGGGCTACCAAAGGGAAAACTGCTTTCCTTATCATGTTTGTGGAACCTCACCGGGAGTTCCAGCTGCATGTCACTGCAACTGCACGGCCGCAGTAGAAGAATCATCGTCGATCCGCCTTGCCCTCCTCATCGGAATCCACTTCGAGCTCATCATCCTGCAAATTGGAGGGATTGGGCTGGCACTTGAAGCATAGGGAGAACATTGCACCTTCCCCCCCAAAAAATATATTGGTGTCGAGTATATTCCAATGGGCCAGAGAGGAACTAGGGCGAAGTCTGACGAACGTTTTTATTCAGCGTATTTAGCTTCTTGTACATCGCCGATTCACTAAAGCAACCCATAGCACTCACATGTACGTAGGTTTCTGAGGATGATACTCTCTGCTACCACTTGCTTGGGGAATGTTGGCTTTGAAGAGTGATTTGCCCAACAAAAGCCTTCTTCTTTGTACCCAGTCGACTAGTATCGCCTGGTTCAGTTGAACCATATGCCGGCGCCGAGTGTGGTCAAAACCTACTGAAAACCATGCAACGTGACAAGGGCTAAAACATTGATTCTCAATGCCCCGCATAGGGTCGACAGCATACTGAGGTTCACTGTCCTTTGGTATTTGGAACATGGTGGGACAGTCAGCATGGCAGGCCAAAAGGTTTGAGTTACACTGGACATCCAACGTGAGACACCACGCAGCCTTTGGCCATTCTTATTGGATCGGACATGGGTACTTCGGTATCCTCATTGAACTACGGATCCAATGGTCCAATGCGCTTGGGACCTTCCTG